AAAAACCAGCTTCAGCCTCAGCTGACTGCCGGTTTCCCCAACCTTATACACAATACATTTGCATAATAACTTAAACCAGCCCATTGACTGAACAATGGGCTGTGAGGTCAGTTCATTTATCATTAATATTCAGAAATGATCTTTCCCTTTTCATGTAAATGGCCTCCTTGACTCCCCACTCAAACCAGCGTTCTTCTGTGTCTAGGATGTGTACATCCTCATCACTGAAAGAGTGTCCACTGGCCTGTAGGTGGAAATAGACTGTGGAGTTGTTGATTAATGGTCATGACAATTTAGATAGATAGATAGATAGATAGATAGATAGACACCAAGTAGAGACACCACATCTCTACTTTTAAGATTAAGCTTAAAACTTTCCTTTTTTCTAAATCGTATAGTTAGGGCTGGATCAGGTGACCCTGGATCCTCCCTTAGTTATGCTGCAATAGGTGTAGGCTGCAGAGGGATTCACGTGATGCATTGAGAATTTCTTCTTCAGTCACCTTCCTTGCTCACTACGTGTTAATAGACCCCTCTGCACTGGATCATACTTATTAATTTCTGGCTCTCTTCCACAGCAGGTCTGTTATCCTGATTTCCTTCTCTCACCCCGACAGGTCACTGCAGATGGCGTCCTCCCTGAGCGTGTCATGGTACTGGGTCGGTTGACCCAGTGTTTAAGTCTTATTAGGGCGGATACTGATTAAGCATCAACAGTATTGTTATTCTACTTTTCATCTAGCGTACATTTTTTCTATGTTCTCTCCTTTAACACCATTCAATTTAGAAAAACAATTCAATCACTGTTAGCTTCCTCTTCTTTTGGACATGACTGCTTATATTTTTTTCATTCTAACTCTTTTTTTTTTTTTAATTATTCAACTTTATTCAACAAAAATTTACAATGTATTATAATGGGAGAATCTTCAAATTCTCATTCAACTTATTGCTCTTCCAACTCTAACTACTTCCACATACAATGACCAGAGCCACCATTCAAACTTCAAAATGAAGCCAAGACATTAAACTACTCACCTTGTATTTATCTTTTCAAAATCCTTCATACTTTTTCTTCAGCTCCAGTTTAAGTTTCATGCTTTTTTCAGCTGTTTCAGAGTTTAAAATGGGTGTCTATGGGACGGAATGTTGGAGGTTAGAGTGAAAAAAGAAATCTCCCCGAGTGGGAGAAATCAAAAAAAGTGTATCTTAAAATCTTCTCTTTCAACTGCTGCTGTGTCCACAGCATTTGGTCTACAGCCATCATTTTACCCGCAAAACGTAGCTGTCATTGCCCTCTTTCATCCAATGTTATTATTATTGTAATAGATGTTTTAGTTCTTTGATAAATCTGCTTCTTAACTCAGATAAAACTGAGGTCATTGTACTCGGCGCTGAAAAGCTTAGAAATTTGGTATCTAACCAGATTCTTACTCTGGATGGCATTACCTTGGCCTCCAGTAACACTGTGAGGAACCTTGGAGTCATTTTTGACCAGGATATGTCCTTCAACGCACATATTAAACAAATATGTAAGACTGCGTTCTTCCATTTGCGCAACATCTCTAAAATTAGAAATATCCTGTCTCAGAGTGACGCTGAAAAACTAGTTCATGCATTTATTACTTCCAGGCTGGACTACTGCAATTCATTATTATCAGGATGTCCAAAAAACTCACTGAAAAGCCTTCAGTTAATCCAAAATGCTGCAGCAAGAGTACTGACAGGGACTAGAAAGAGAGAGCATATTTCTCCTGTTTTGGCTTCCCTTCATTGGCTTCCTGTTAAATCCAGAATTGAATTCAAAATCCTGCTCCTCACATACAAGGTCTTAAATAATCAGGCCCCATCTTATCTTAATGACCTTGTAGTACCATATCACCCTATTAGAGCACTTCGCTCTCGCTCTGCAGGCCTACTTGTTGTTCCTAGAGTATTTAAAAGTAGAATGGGAGGGAGAGCCTTCAGTTTTCAGGCCCCTCTTCTGTGGAACCAGCTTCCAGTTTGGATTCGGGAGACAGACACTATCTCTACTTTTAAGATTAGGCTTAAAACTTTCCTTTTTGCTAAAGCATATAGTTAGGGCTGGACCAGGTGACCCTGAATCCTCCCTTAGTTATGCTGCAATAGATGTAGGCTGCCGGGGGATTCCCATGATGCATTGAGTTTTTCCTTTCCAGTCACCTTTCTCACTCACTATGTATTAACAGACCTCTCTGTATTGAATCGTATCTGTTATTAATCTCTGTCTCTCTTCCACAGCATGTCTTTATCCTGTCTTCCTTCTCTCACCCCAACCGGTCGCAGCAGATGGCCGCCCCTCCCTGAGCCTGGTTCTGCCGGAGGTTTCTTCCTGTTAAAAGGGAGTTTTTCCTTCCCACTGTCGCCAAAGTGCTTGCTCATAGGGGGTCATATGATTGTTGGGCTTTTCTCTGTATCTATGAAGCGCCTTGAGGCGACATTTGTTGTGATTTGGCGCTATATAAATAAAATTGAATTGAATTGAATTGAATTGAATTGATAAATGTCACCAATGCACAGCCTTCTCCATGCAAGTCTTCCATAGAGCCGAATGTTAAATTGGCTCCCAAAATTCGTCTGAAAATCAGAAGTACAGGCTGTCTTTACACTGTCACGACATCCATGTAATAAACTCTACACACATGAAAATGGAGAACTTTGTAGACTGTTTATTTAAACCAGCAGCAGTCAGGGGCATGTCTCTCTGTGTGTGTGTGTGTGTGTGTGTGTGTGTGTGTGTGTGTGTGTGCGCGTGTGTGTGTGGTGCCACTCGCTATGGCAACCAGGCTCACACCTGCATGCCTAATGAGCTGTCTGTCACTCTGCCAAGATTAATCTTAAAAACTTCTGTTTCAACTGCTGCTGTCTGCACAGTGTTTGCAGCCATCATCTTACCCTCAAAATGTAGCCATCGTTGTTCTCTTTCCAACAATGTGTCTTTCAAAGCTATAACTTGCAAACTTTTTGAACTGTGTGGACGCAAGTGTAGGGAGTAACTTCCAAATGACCCAGAGATGTACATTGTATTTTCACCCAGGAGTTTGTCTCAACAGTAGACAAGACCCCACTTTTTAAACCACTTCTGTGACCACAGTTTTGACACCAGGAACATAAAAAAACCACTGCTGTGTAGAACTAGTCTTCGGGATCCACATGGTTCAAATGGTATTTTGATAGGAGCTACGGTCTTGGATTTACAAGCATTTTTTCAACAGGTGCACTTAGGCAGATTTGACAGAGATTTGCCACAGAATAATAGTATGTCAGTAGTTAGTGCAGGCCAACTGGATAGAACATTCTGATTGGCCTGTTACATTCAAGGCTATTGTTCATTGGTGGATTTCTCTTCAGCACACAGGTGGTTCAGATCTAGGCTTTTGGAGTCAGTTGATGACTTTTAGAATCATATTTTCTGACTGGATGATCAGAACTGAATCTGTTTACCTGTCTATAGTGGATTTTCCCACATTTCAGTCTTTCAGTGATTAAAAGAATATGAACTTTTAATATCAATTCTGATGTTTTCTGACTCTAAATTTTCTTTTGTCATTACTCAGCTTTTACTCATTTAAATTTTAAACATTTTCAGCTACTTTTCTTCTTCGTCTTCTGTATTGACATCAGCTTTCAGCAATTATACACTTTTATTTTCATTTGAAAAATTTTGTATTTTTCAGCTCTTTCAATATTTTCAACTTAACATTCAGCAATGATTTCATTTCAGCTCAAAACTTTCAGCTATCAGCATTCACACTGAGGTTTCTTCAGAAAATGCATTTCCTAGTTGTAATCTGTTATTCATTTGTGTTCTAGTTTCAGTTTAGTTCATGAAATTCATTTCTACAATGCCTAGGTTGCTGTTGTAGTCCTTTGTTTTGTAGATCCTTTTGTGCCCCCCCCCCTTTCTAAGTCTCCCTGGTTTGCGTGTCTACTTGTCATGTTTCATGTCTCTGTGGTTCTTGTTGTCAAATTCGTGGCATGTCTGCGTCTTGTCATATTTCCTGTTTATTTTGAAAGTCTTGTTTCCATGTCCTATGTGCTTGGTTTACACTTCTACTGTAGCATCATTATGTTCATTCTAGTCAGCTGTTTCCTATGCGGAACAGTAAAGGTCAGACACAGATTTCCAGACTATACATTTATTAACATGTTTGGTACACACAGTTTTACATTTTTGTACTACATTATTCTACTTCATATGATCTAAGTTAACCTTTGAGTCTCATCTGAACACAGAGCAGGGTTACAACTTCAGCTTCCTCTTAACTAATAAAACTACTCTAAACTGGGACACTAAACTAATGCTGAAAGACTGCCAGTAACATGTTACCTAACCCAGCATGACGTGTACGCTTGACAATCAATAACTGCTCTTATATTAGTTAGTAAAATTGTACATTCAGTGAAACAAAAGCACACACAGCACAAACACATATTTAATCTGAGTATTTTCCTGGATCTTGTTGATCTGACTTTAATGAGCTGCTGCAGCTGATAATTGATTGTTACTGTATTCTGCACGC